TTGTTAGGTAAGTACAAGCCAAAGTACAAGGGTACCTGACTGTAGAAAAGCCCAACTCACATTCCTCCCCTAAACCCTAACCTCTTTTTTCTCCACCTCTCAACAGAGCTTCCTTCTGCCCATTGCGCGCCTTCCCCGGCGGTTTGTCGGTCCCTTCACCAGCGGATAGCCCTTAGTTGTGTAGCCTCGCTCCACTTTTTTGTTATTTCTAGTTTTCTTGCGCCGATGAAGGATGTCAGATGCCCGTTGGTCGGATTCGTCGTTGTACGGTTGCTGGTGGCGGTCACGACTATTGGTCTTCCTGATTGCGTCGAGGTGCTGGATGGTGGTGTGTGGTCGGGGTGTTGGGTGCGGCCTTGGTTACTCGGCTTGTTTGAGGCGAGTCGACTGGGGATGAGGTGCGACCGTTCTTGCCCCCGGTGTCCCTGTTCCTCTAGTGATGTGGCTGAGGGATGGTCGACACGTCCAAATCTAGGCCAATGGTGTTGGCCGGGTTTCGGGGTGTTGGAGTGTGGGGGTGGGTCGACGCTCCTCCAGCTGTAGGTCAGCTTCACTTCTTGGAGTGGTTCGGGGTCCTGGGTTTCGGCATCAGTTAGGCGATTCGACAGTTTCGGGAACGGATACTTGGACTGCGGTTTAGTCTTTGGGCGTGATCGACTTTGAAATCTGCTGGTGCCAAGTGCTAGGATTGGTTTTTCTACCGTGGGAAGGGCCTTTGTCTTTTCAGTTTTTTTATCTGTCTTTAGGTTATGTGTGTCTGTTTTAGTCTTTTTTTTCTTTTTTGGTTTTTCTGTTTGAAACTGACATTTGTTCTGGCCGAGTGAGAGTGGGTATTATCATGGTGGGATCAGTGAGTCTGCCTCGTTGAAGTTGTTTTCTTCTGTTTGTGTGTGTTTGTTGTTTTGCAAGTTCTTTGTCCTAACGTTCCTACTTTAGGCTCTAGGTGATCTTCGAATTTGTCCTCTCAGTTTATTCAGCTATCATTCAACTATGGACCGATTTTTCTTGTTATATAAAATCTTTATTGTTTCGAAAAAAATAAATAAAAAAAAAACACTATTTCTTAGCATCATTTCTTTTGTTTCTCCTATGCAAATGTACGAGTAACGTTACTAATTCAATGTTTTGGTATGCTGAGGGCAACAAGATGAGATAAGGTCGCAAAATGATGAAATAAGTAACAGAAACATCCGGTATCCAACTCAACAATATCAACCATTTTATAGCAGTAGTTAGTTTTTCCCTCTTTTGGCCGCTTTGTAAACTATTGGGTCAACCCGTTAGAAAACTAACTGAACCTACATTTCAAACAGGCTTTGTCAATTGTCAAAGTCTACATTTGATCTCCAATCCAATTCATATCATCTGTACTACGCTTTTACGGGTCACGGAAAGCTTATTTTTGCAATTATCCTTATTAAACATAGACGGTCAAAACGAAAGTTCGAACATAGGGAAAGGCAAGGAATGATAATAGAAATTACTTAAAATGGGAAAAATACAAGCCTGGTTCAAACTCCGAAGCATGGGACAGTTAAGAATAGTAGTTTAAGGCACCACAGCTCCGGGTATGGTCATACTCTACAAAGCTCTACAGGCGAGCAATAAACACCTAATGCAGGTGAGAAAGGAAACCAGCCTAGACACAAACTGCTTAATAGATAAAACACATGTATGATTATGATGATGATGATGATGATGCCACAAAGTACCTAAAATGTATCGGTATTATGTTTGATATGCATATATACATATAT